TTTAAGTGTGGGGGAGTTTTTGCATGATTATGTGTCTATATGGTTGACCAGGTCTAGGTCTTTTAGGATGTTGTCTTCATTTTCTGTTTTCGTTTGAGTGTCTTTTCTTGAGTCAGCTCGTGTGTTTCTCGAGTATGGATAATAGTGATTTTGAGATTTGTCGAGAATTGTTGATGATGTTGAGGAGATGTGATGATGATCATGATTAGTATATTTTGATGAACTTGATGTTCCATTTTGTTGGACATTATTTACCCTATGAGAGGTTTGAGCCTTATTTTGTTCTTAAGAGATATTGGTCGAATTCTTGTTGATCAGAACTTGCTTTGAGTTTATTTTGAAATGAATTGATTAAAGTAGTGAATTGTGAAAATGATTGAGGCATTCTTTGACATTGCTCGTTTTGCCTTTTTCATTGACCCTTGAGATTATATTTTCATTAGTAGCCCGTTGAGCCTTAAAGTTGTATTTCTTGTCAACCAATTTGATTGAATTATTTGAAGATTTGACAAAGAATTTGTTATGATGTCGGAGCTCTTAATATGTGTTGGAAAAGGTTGAGAACTTGTTTGAGTTGCATATTGAGTAAAAAAACAAAAAAAAAATGGGGACTCGCAAGACGAACGAAATGGATTCTACTCCGCTTACTTGTGGAATTTTTCACGAGTAATGAGTATTGGGAAACTACTCTAGGAAACTTGGATGACCTCCAATGTTTAAAACTAGAGAATGTTGTCCTTACGTCTCGGTTTTGTTAGGAAAAAGCAAACTCCCTAAATAAAAAAAAAAAGTAAAAAAAAAAGAAGAAAAGTCGAGTACTTGAATTGCAATTCAGCTTGAGCAGATGTGAATGTTGCATGGAGTTTTGATGGGAATGATTGATGTTTTGCTGATTATGGATAGGTGGTGAGATATTCGAGTAGTTAATATGCTCGAGGATGTGATTGTTTATTTGAGCCATTCTTTCCTTATATTTTTCCTTCCTTGAGGCCTACACTGCAACCCGAAAGTCCTCTTAATTTACAGTTCATGATCTTTGGTTGTTTTAGAGTATGAATAGACGATAAGCAAGCTTATGTTGATGCATTATGTTCGACCAATTTGAGCGTCCCAGTCTTATATTCATGAAAGAAACCGAGTGAGGAATATACATATTATATTTTCGTGCTTGAGAGTTTGTCTTTTCAAGATGTTGCATTCGAGTGTAATTGAGATATGCATGATTGGTCATTGGAAGTCTCCTCAGCTAAGTTGAT